AAATCACAACAATACCATTTAAATCATGAAGCAAAATTATATAAAAATAAATATTTTGGTACATTGTTCTTTGGGGAGGAACTCCATCTTTGAGTTGATCTGAATCTCACAGTTGAATCTGCTGGTTTTGAAGATGAAGATGAACTTTATTCACTGTGAAAACTTCAGATAATGTTTCTTTGTCATGTCACTTGTAATGGCTGGTTAGGACAGATTTATTCAGATTATATTTTATTATTTGATGCATTATTGTGTCACATTTGGTGAGGACGCAGCATCAGACATCTGAAGATGATCTACTTACTGTGAATGTTTTTTGTATGACTGTGTAGAGAAGATGAACGACTGAAACACTTCCCACATGCAGTGCGTGATATGGTTTCTCTCCAGTGTGGATCCTCTCGTGTGTTTTCAGAGTTGCTGAATCACTGAATCTCTTGTCACAGTGTGAACACTTGTAAGGTTTCTCTCCAGTGTGGATCATCTCATGTGTTTTCAGGTCTCCTGACCTATTGAATATCTTCTCACAGTGTGAACACTTATAAGATTTTTCTCCAGTGTGGATCATCTCATGTGCTTTCAGATGTGCTGACCGACTGAATCTCTTGTCACAGTGTGAACACTTATAAGGTTTCTCTCCAGTGTGGATCCTCTCATGTCTTTTTTGGTCTCCTGGTTCACTGAATCTTTTATTGCAGTGTGCACACTTATAAGGTTTCTCTCCAGTGTGGATCCTCTCATGTGTTTTCAGATGTGTTGACAGACTGAATTTCTTGCCACATTGTGAACACTTATAATTCTCTCCAGTGTGGATCCTCTCATGTCTTTTCAGGTCTCCTGACTGACTGAATCTCTTATCACATTGTGAACACTTATAAGGTTTCTCTCCAGTGTGGATCCTCTCGTGTCTTTTCAGATTTGCTGACACACTGAATCTATTGTCACAGTGTGAACACTTATAAGGTTTCTCTCCAGTGTGGATCCTCTCGTGTCTTTTCAGATTTGCTGACACACTGAATCTATTGTCACAGTGTGAACACTTATAAGGTTTCTCTCCAGTGTGGATCCTCTCGTGTCTTTTCAGATTTGCTGACACACTGAATCTATTGTCACAGTGTGAACACTTATAAGGTTCCTCTCCAGTGTGGAACCTCTCATGTGTTTTCAGATGTGTTGACCGACTGAATTTCTTGCCACAGTGTGAACACTTATAAGGTTTTTCTCCAGAGTGAATCCTCTCGTGCTGTTTTAAATGTTCAGCTGAAATAAAAGTTTTTTCACACTCAAAGCACATGTACTCTCCCACAGCTGTGTGTATTTTCTGACCTACTTTCAAATTCTGTAGACGCACAAAACTGTTACCACATAAATTACATGAAGGTGGCTTCTCCTTTGAATTAACTTTCAAGTGTTTTTTCAGAACTGAAGCCCATATAAACATTTTCCCGCATTGATCACATGCATGCAGCTTTTCTCCAGCGTGGCTGTTCATGTGATCATTAAGGTTTGCTGATTGTGTGAAACTCTTCCCACATTTCTCTCCAGTATGAACTCTCATGTGACGCTCAAGACT